CTCCTCACTGCTGGACACTGGCTGCAGGGGTCTGTGTCCTCTCCGATCCCCTCTGCCGATAGAGGTGAGAGGGGACAGAGACCGCAGCATGCAGCGGGCTCCCAGCGGAGCGGAGAAAGGTGAAGAGCCGATGCGGCAGGGGGGCGAGGGGTTTGGACCTCTCCTCACTGCTGGGCGCTGCCTGCAGGGGTCTGTGTGCCTTCCGATCCCCGCTTGGAGCAGTGGGGATCAGAGAGGATACAGAGCCGATGAAACACCGGCTCCCAGCACGTAGAAGAGAACTAGAGGACCCAGACCAACTAATCGATAGTGAAAATAGTTCTCATTATCGATTAGTTGGTTGCAGCCCTAGTGATCATGGTTGGGGGCTGGGAAAGTTACAACTTGCTGAATCTCAGGTGGACTGGTAGCATGCGGGGTGATGGGGAAGATAAGTACCGCTATCACCTATGAAAACCTGCTTTTATGGAAGCGATTCTGACAGCAGAAAAGCTGCCGGTAAAGAGGGTCTTCCCGCCACCTTGCTTCCCAGATTCCACTGCCCCTCCTGCGGGCCCAGGACTGGCATTGTACATGTCGGCAGGGAGAGAGACCAGCGAACATCTGATCCCCTCCCAATGAAACCAGTAGCGTTGATGATTGCATCACTTCCAGCTTCTCAGCTGTCACTTCCCGGCTACAGAAGCCAGGGAAGAATCTGTTAAAGCTTGATCAGCTTCATTGAAGTGATCTCTAGACCCCTAATGTCACCTTAAAGAGTACCTGTCACCTCCAATGTACTATCACATAGGGTGCTTATGAGCACCCAATAGAAAAATGCATTTTCCGGAACCCTCTGAGTTGAGGTACCCCGGCTCCAGATGCTACAGCTTTCCTCTTTGTCTCCATCCTTTGGGGAAAATCTTCACCGTGCTGGCCATGTCCGAGCGTCTCCAGCCTCTGATCTTCTTCCAAAGGGCGGAGTAATCTTTGACCCTGGGGAGGGAAGGGCCAAGAACGATGAGTGCACTTTCTCTCCCAGCAAGAACAATGTCACTTGCCAAAACAAATCTGTGAAACAAACAATTTGGCAGGTATGTAGACTGAATAAAATGACTGCACCCCAACATTTGCCTTAGACTTGTTGAAGACGGCCTCAAACCTTGCGAATGACCCTAAAATCACGTCTGCAAAACTGTGGACTAGTGTTTTCCATGGTTCCAGCTCCGCCCTCCCTTTGCAGCCACATACAATGGAGCATCAAAGAGGATGGACCGCACTAGGACATGTGACCAGCGCTGCCATCCCACCACATGCATGTGACAAGCTCGCTGAATCTGACTACAGCGGCATTGGCTCAACAGCTGCACTGTTTGGAAAGCTTTGAGCAATCACTGTTTTTCTTTTTGCGTTCAGTGGCAATGTTTGTCCTACGGAAGGCTGTTGTTACAGTAATAGCAATTAAAGGTTGTTTGTTCCCTTGGATTTTGCGAATCGATTATTTGTGCTCCTGCAATATTTTGGTTTCCTACCTGAACTTATTATTTTCTTATACCAGTACATCATGCTGTCGTTGGGATAGGGGTCATGACATTACAGACATCATCTAAGGATGGAGGAGGACAAAAGTCACGTGACTAAGGAAATATTAAACCTCACCCTGGAGATCATCTACCTGCTGACCGGAGAGGTGAGGAGGATTCTGGGAGGTCACATGGCATCACTCTTATCTCTATTAATAAAACACAGACCTGACCGGAGAGGAGGATTCTGGGAGAGTCATGCAACATCATTATTATCTTTATTAATAAAACACAGACCTGACTGGAGAGGAGAGGAGGATTCTGGGAGGTCACATGACATCACTCTTATCTCTATTAATAAAACACAGACCTGACTGGAGAGGAGGATTCTGGGAGGTCGCATGACTTCGCTCTGATCTCTATTAATAAAATACAGACCTGACCGGAGAGGTGAGGAGGATTCTGGGAGGTCACATGACATCACTCTTATCTCTATTAATAAAAAAACACAGACCTGACCGGAGAGGAGAGGAGGATTCTGGGAGGTCACATGACATCGCTCTAATCTCTATTAATAATACACAGACCGGAGAGGTGAGGAGGATTCTGGGAGGTCACATGACATCCCTCTTATCTCTATTAATAAAACACAGACCTGCCTGGGAAGATATGGAGGATTTTGGGAGGGTCACATGACATCTGATGACATGTTATCTCCATTAACACAGCACAAACATGACCAGGAAGGTGAGGAGGATTCTGGGAGTGCCATGACATAATGTGTACGGAATATCATGTATATGCATAGCAAGAACCATTAGAAGGCATTCTGTTGACACGGCTCTGCTCAGGTTTTGTTATTTGTTCTATCCATGAAAATATCGATTCCCATCTGTTTATACAGGATTATGTACCTCTGAGAACATCCGATGCGCATATCACAAGAAGCATTAGTACACGTGTGTCAGGAAGATGGAGCACAAGTCACAGCCCCATCATGGAGTGCACATCTCCCTCCCCGATACCTAAAAATAACAGAAATCTGGAGATTCTGGAGGTCACTAACAAGATCATGGAGCTGCTGACGGGAGAGGTGAGCGGTGCCGGGAATTCTGGGACATGATCCAGTAACAGACCAGGGATGTGTCCGGATGGTGACTGTATCATTGTGTGTGTCAGGTTCCTATAAGGTGTCAGGATGTCTCTGTCTATTTCTCCATGGAGGAGTGGGAGTATCTAGAAGGACACCGGGATCTCTATGAGGACATCATGACGGAGAACCAGCGACTTCCCAAAATGAAAGGTAAGACAGAATGGGATGGCTCCTAATACTGTAGGAAGAGATTTTCAGGTACCA